AAGTAATATTTGAATTTTGTTGTGTTGACATTAACTCTACAAAGCTACTTACACTAAAAAGGTGTAGATATGAGCACCAATTATTCTCTTCATACTCCAGGAGGTAATTTATTCATAGTGGATTTTGATAGTATTCTCATATTTCTACCATACACCTGCTCACCTAAGTACTTTCACTTAAGCAATATTTATTATACTTTTACTCAAAGAAGTCATTACTGAGAACATTACAATAATTTGTCTGAATGGGCAACATGTAGACTAAGGTGAGATGTTATAATAGAGGAACTAAGATTTAACTATAATCAAAATTTATTTGAAAATTTTATGCAAAGTATTATTTACTTATTTGTCTTTAAAGAGTTATAGAATAGCTTGCAAGTGAGAATATGGTTTTGGCATTTTGAATTGTTTTAAAAACATTATTAATTTGTTATCTCTTTTGAGAAAACTGAAAATAAAGGTTAAAACTTACAAATATGTTTGACATGCCTGCTTTTGTGTAGATGAATCATAAATTGCTAAATTTTTTACAAGTTCTTGAGATATTCATAGAGCAATACCTTACTTTGAGTTTTAATTAAGTTGTTCTTTGCTCCAAAAGTCACTAAGTACTTCAGCCAATTAAGCATGAGCAAAAATATTCTGTTTCCTCAAGGTCCTGATGCAACAGATCAGTCATCTGATCGAAGTGAAAATCCAAATTCCTTTTGGTGGGCAGAAACAGAGCCTGACATAGCCTATTCTTTAAATAAGCCGAGTGCTAGTTACAAGTGGAGATAGGGTTGTCACTTCAGCTACCTTCTGAGAACCACATCTCAGAATGACACCTTCCCTTCAATAGAGGGAGACTAGAAGTCTCAGAGAAGAGATAAGATTCATCTATGACTTTTGCTGTTGTTGGTGGTGTGTGACCATCAATGGCAAAACACATATTTATTCCTCTTCTGTTTGTTGTCACTAGTAGCAAGTCAATATGTCTCCTTTCTATTTCATCTCAATTTTTCAAATTCTAAAATATAGGACCTTTTATTCCCTTAAGTAACTGAGTAATCATTCACAATGTGATATATTCATTCCTTCGTTATTCAGTGAATTCTGAGATATAATAGTGAAGTAAGGTTTTTTAAGTATGTTTTCCCATTTAATACTACTTGAATAAATTTGAAAAAGACTTACATAGGTAAAATGATTTGAAGGCATTTCATTTATTAAGTAAATTAGCCATACTCAAACTCAATCTTCATGTCTTCTTTTTCAGTTTCCTTTGTACACCTCAGGTTAGCTAGTGAAAGAGTGTATCTTGCCTTAAAAAATAGAAACCTGAGTCTGAAAATTAATCTTTGCCCCAGGGAATGTACAGGAAATCAAGACAAGGATGGGAAAGAGGATTTTCCTTTCTTTATGAATAATTTTATTTGAATTCTGTGTGTGGAACTGATTAGGATTTTTTTTTACTGATACCATGTGATTTAAATGGATAGAAAGCCTTTGTTCACCATTTCTTTTCTTTTCTTTTTATTCATTAAGATGGTTGGTACATTTTAGGTGTACATTATGATCACATTCACCATTGGGATTTTGTACCTGTGCATGATATATCTTGGTTCTAGTATTTTCCCCTTCCTTCCCTTCCACCCCTCCACCCCTCCCTACTTAGAAAAATTTTATTTCAGTTTTTTCCATCTTTTCTCATTTTTTTCTTTCCATTCTTTCCTTTCCCACACCCTGCCCCTAGTTCTCCTTCCCCTTTGAAACTTTTCTTCCTATTTCATATTATCTACTTTACATTTTCAGTTTCTCACACTAGAGAAACTATTTGGTATTTACACATGTGTGTCCTATTTATTTCACTTAAAAGTATGGCCGCAATATCCATCCATTTAGCTAAAAATGCCTCTGGTTTCTCATTCTTTATGGATGAATAGTACTCCATCTTCTTTATCCAGTTACCAGTTGGTAGGCATTTGGGCTGTTTCCAAGATTTAGCTATTACAAACTGCGCCACTATAAACATGGGTGCACATATATCACTATGGTAATATAATGCTCTTAACTCTTTTGGAAAGATACCCAGCAGGGGAATAGATGAGTCAAATGTGACCACTAATCCTCATTTTTTGAGGTTTTTCTATAATGATTTCCACAGAAGTTGCAGCAGTCTATATTCCCAACAACAGTGGAGAAGTGTTCCTCTTTCCCCACAATCCCACCAGCATTTGTTGTTGGTTGATTTCTTGATAGCAGCCATTGTCAGGAGCAATGCTACATAATTTTAGGGAAAAATCATTTGGTTAGCCTAGTTCTCCTGCCTACCGCCCAGCTATGCAATTTCGAGACATAATTCCATTTTGCCCTCCAGTCACAACTGAGACCTCAATGATCCGGTGATGCTGTGATTCTCCATGACAAGATTACACCAGTTGAAGACATCCTGGGAGGAACAAACATCTACTCAGTTCCTCATTGTTCTTGGGTTGCTAGATTTTGTTTACGCAGGATGTACTGAACTCTCTGCAAGTCATTTGTTACATTTGTTTCTCGCGATGTATTGAATAAAAGGTGCGGTAAACTGGGGGCTTTAGTCTTTGCCACCCAGAGCAGCACTGATCAGACCCAAAGCTTGGCTTCTTCTCAGTCTCATTTTTCTACCGTTCCTGTAATTCGCGGTGTACAGTGTGGCTCGAAGGAGACTAGGACTTACTGCAGAGGTTCTGGTAATGTCCCCTTTCTCTGTTCCCTGCAAGCCATTCTTTCTGGAGTGAAGTGGAATCTCAGCATTGTTTTCGTTTGCATCTCTGGGATGACCAGGGATGTTGAACATTTTTTCATATGTTCATTTTCTGTCCGAGAAATGTCTGCTCATTTCAGATGCCCATTTTTGGACTGGGTCTTTAAATTTGGGGGAAGCTGATATTTTTAAGTTCTTTATATATTCTAGATAATAGACTTCTGTTAAGGAATAGCTGGTAAAATTTTTCTTACATTGTAGGCTGTCTCTTCAGTGTTGGTGGTTTCTCTTGCAGTGCAGAAGCTTTTTAATAAGATGAGATCACAGTTGTTTTGTCTTTATGCTAGTTCCTGTGTAACAGAGGTTTTGTTCATAAAGTCTTTACCTATGTCAATGTCTTCAAACTAGCCTGTCTTCTAGTAGGATTAGTGTTTCTGTTTTAATATTTAGATCTTTGATTCATTTCAATTTTAGTTTAGGGTATGGTGAGAAATCTGGATCTAGTTTTAATCTTTGACAAGTTGAAACACAATTTTTCCAGCACCATTTATTAAAGAGGTTCTTTTTTCTCCAGTGAGGGTGTTTGGCTCCTTTGTCAAAGATCTGATGGCTGAGCATATCTGGCGTTGTTTCTGCATCTTCTAATCTGTTCCACTGATCATCAGGTCTGTTTCTTTAACAGTAGCATGGTGTTTTTAGCACAGTAGCTTTGTAGTATAGTTTCAAGTTGAAGATTCACGTTGGTAGGATACACCCTGCCTTGTCTTTGTTGCCTACAATTACTTTTGCTATTCAAGGTCTCTTCTGGTTCCAAATAAATTTTTGGATTGTTTTCTCTAGTCCTGTGAAATATGCTGTTGGAATTTCAATCAGAATTGCATTGAATCTATATAGCAGTTTTAGAAGTATGGCCATTTTCACTGTATTGGCTCTTCCTACCCAAGAACAAGGGATGTCTTTCCATTTTCTGATATCCTCTATAATCTCTTTTTTAAGGGTGTTGTAGTTTTCAGAGTAGAGATCTTTTACTTCCTTTGTTAGATTGATTCCTAGGTTTTTGGGTTGGTTTTTTTTTTTTGATGCTATTGTGAAAGGAGTTGTTTTCCCAACTCCTCTCTCAGTGAGTCTGTTATTCATGTATAGGAAAGC